AATTAGGTTATGGTTAGGGTTGGGCATTCATTTGTAAGGGTTAGGGTAAGGGGCTAGGGAAAGCATTATGTCAATGATAGAGAGATAGTTAAACGTGTGTGTGTGTGTGTGTGTGTCATGAGATATAAATATGAAAATCTATCCATGTTTTCAATCCTTTAGGGAGCTCATTCTGTTCTTTATTGGACTTGAGTAAAAAAAGAAGACTGTGCAAAAGCTGAGCTACTAGTAGAGTGTAGCTCTACTAGTAGGTCATCACAGTGTGCTGACCCTGCTCTAGTTTCCTATTCAGAACTTGTGGGTTTTTTTTTTTTATAAAATAGTCTTTTACAGTTGTTTAAATATTAGAAAGTGTCATTGCACTCACATGCAGCCTTGTTACTTCCTGTGAGTAACTTTCTGAAGATGACTATCTTGTATTTCCGCGTGTTCATCTTGAAGCTCAGAGAGCACCAAAGTATTAAACGAGCTGAGCATGAAGATCTGAAAAAGCCTCTTTGCTTAGATGTCCTAGTAAAATATCTGAAAGCCTTGTTTATGAAGATGTCCTGGTTTAGCTGCTCACCTGTTAAAGACCGTAAAATACAAACATTGTATCTTTTGTCCCCGTCATTATCAGCTGGGTCAGGTAGGACTTGTGAGCCATCTTACTGTCTGCTTTGGTGGTGTTGGTTTTAACACACGCAGTAATTACACCCATGTTCTTATTTGTTCATTAATCTCATATTGTTGACTGTACCCAAACAGGGGAAACGAGCTGTACTTGTTGGATTTGCAGGCCTTGTTGTTGTGTCATTTAATCTTATTGTTGCGCACAGTTCAGTCTTTGTTTTCAGATGAATACTTGTGTTATCTGAAGGAGGAGGCTCAGGCTCGATTTAATAACAGTTTCAAATGTCAGAGGATGGACTTTTCTCTGATTACTCAAACAGGCTTTGTCCCAAGTTAAACAAACTAAATGGCGCTCTTAAGGAAACCTGCTGCATTATACAGATGTTGTGGAGGGATTTTTAAGTATCCCACAGGTCGCTGTTGTACATCAGAGATCATTTCTCATCACGCCGCCACTTCAGGCAGCAAAGAGAAATGTCAGCCGTGTAAAGCCTGTGATGCTTCTCAGATAAGACGCAGAGAATCGGCCCCTCAACTCGCCCTGATGTGTGTGCGTCTGTGTGTGCAGATGACTCGGTATGTTTTGTTCTGTGTTCATACTGAGCATGTCCGTCCTGCTAGAGCAGGTCAGACCTAACCAGTGACTGCCGGCGTCTCGTCCCAGCATAATGAGCAAAGTCATTGCACAGAATGAGAGGATCAGCCCATCTCTGAAAGGGCAGCTAACAATGTTTGCTGCTGTTTCGCTTATCATTAATGAATTTTTCCTGATAATAATCCAAGTCATGTTCAAGTCATTACTTACAAGATAGAAGTGATTATTTGGCCTGAAGGGAGTCACATGGCCCTGCAGCCTGTGGACCAGTGAAGCAGAATTCAAAATAGCTTTTACCCTCAAAGCAAACCTAAACATACATAAATATATTTAAAATGTAATGAACTTTAATGTTTAGATCCAGTTTGTAGAGGTAAGCACTTATAATTAGTTATGGGTTTTGTTCCACATGAGGTGATGGACTGCAGTGTTTCCAGCAGTCTCATTAAATCTCAGTGATGGACGTGCAGTGATCTCTGCGGTGCTTCTGATGGGGCTCGATCATGGAGGAGGTGTAACTCTAATGCAGCCGAGGCAGCACTGTGATGGATCTCTTTCTTTCTTTTTTTCAAGGATTATATGTAAGAATCAGAAGTATAAACTGCCAAAATGTATCGTTTAAAAAGTCATCGGACTGATGTATGGTGTAACACTGTAAGCCTGCTCACACAACCTTCTGGTTTCATACATTATGGGAAAAAAATTATATTTCTTGTTTTTTACTCTTTTAAATATGTTTTAAATGTCAATAGTCTTCTTTTAAAAAATTGGACTGTGAACTTGTGCTCGTTGTTTTTTCTTCAGGATCTAACTACGCCATGTCGAACGGGGGCGGGGCTCCCAGCAGCTCCACCCACCTGCTGGACTTCCTAGAGGAGCCCATCCCTGGTGTTGGGACCTACGATGACTTTCACACCATCGACTGGGTCCGTGAGAAGTGCAAGGACCGCGAGAGACACCGGAAGGTGAGGACACCGACGCCAAACCAGCTCAAAAAATAAAAACTTTTCAGCTTCGAGCAAAAAATTTTTATACTTTGATATAACAACCAGTTTTTATGTATATTACAAAACCTGTCAGAGCTTTCACCCAGAGACAGAAAAATATTTTTAGTATTTTGGAAAGAAAATATTCTTCTTCACGGGCCACAAACAACCCTACTTAATTTAAAGAAAGAAAGAAAAAAGTTTCACACCACTGTGTTATGCACTTCCTGTTGTATAAACAGTTTGTTTGGGTCACATAAAAGAAAGAAATGTCAGGTAGGATCAGGACCTACAGCCCTGATGGCTTAACAGAGAGGGTAAACAACACTTTTCCAACAAAAATGATCCCTTCATATAATGTTTTTACTTTATACAAAGTCAACCACAGTTTCCAAATTATAAATTAAAAGATCAATTTCTTATCCACCACTAGCATTCACAGGCTAAGTGTGTGGGAGATTTTACGGCCCTTCAGTTGGTCATGAGCGCATGTCGGGTCTGCCAACACTTTTATCCAAGTGTTTTACTGCAAGACGCTGCAGGACAATCTGAATGTTATTTGCATACCCGGTGTTCTCAGCCCCTCAGCTGACTGTTATATTGAGGCAACAGTGGAAATCATGCCTGTAGAGGTGGTGTATTGTCACTGAACGTCACTGTTTTTACCCCTCAGCTGTAAAAGACTGATGAGGTATTGTTAACCTTTCCCTCACTTGCATTAATCTCACTGTAAGTTGATCTAATAGTTTTATTTTTAGCCATCGATGCTTGTTATTGAGTCTTTTGTGTGTGTTGATACAGATCAATAGTAAGAAAAAGGAGTCGGCATGGGAGTTCACCAAGAGCCTGTACGACGCTTGGTCCGGCTGGCTGGTGGTGACGCTCACTGGCTTGGCATCAGGTAACACACATGTGGTACTAAAGTGCACACTAGGGCTGCACGATATTAGGAAAACCTGCGATGTGCGATAACTGTGATCAATACTGTGATAACGATATGACTTGCGATAAAATAAATAGCAAAAAAACAAAACAAAAAACGAATACATAATTTCCGTTTTACTGCAACAGTTTTATTTAATGAAAGCTGCTGTATTAGCAGTGTAACAACAACGTGCACTTTAATATTGAAACATTGCCCCCATAAAAAAATTTCTGAGGCTTGAATTCTGAAAGACATCCTTCCCGGTCTCTAGAATTAGTTTTAAATAAACATAACTTAAATTATACTGCAAATCATCTCAATGCAGTTGTTCATCATTTTACCACTCACCAAGTAGTTATGATGCAAGTCAAAACTGGAGAGGAAACTTTACTGTAGTGCTTGCGTAGTTTTCAGCTTGGCTCAGTTCAAACATGCTGGTCTTCCGGCATGTTTCATACATTTGTGGAATGGCGACATGGGAAAAGTAGTTTCGTGAGGGGATGCGGTATCTCCAGTCCACTTTATGTATCAGACTGGTGAAGCCCTCTCTGCTAACTGTATTTATAGGCATCATGTCTTTATCAAATCCAAAGTACCTCCAAATAAGCGAGGTACTTTGGATTTGATTGGTTAATGCTGTGAAGGGCTCTATTCGACTGGTCAAATGTATAAAGGGGTTTCTTTGATTGGTAAATTCTTTAAAGCACGTGTGTAAACATTTTAAGGTACCCAATTATCGCAGTTTACGTCATCTTTTGCGATGGGCCCATCCCGCAGGCTGATATCGCGATGACAATAAATTTTCGATTTATTGTGTAGGCCTAGTCCACACAGCACACAGCTCTTATCTGCCCTGCTGGTGACTCTCACATGCTTTGCCTCAGGCAGCTCACACTCAGTCTTTCTCTTGTTCACTGTCTTGTGCTCTCGCTCACCCACCTCTTATAACCACACTGTTCTTCCTGCAGAGCCCCACGTGACAGATCTCAGAGCCATGAAATCCTCGCCGTGTGTGTTTTATGGCCACTAAATAACAGAAAATCTTTTTCTAGCTGAGCTAGTCAAAGTAGAGTACTTATAAAAAGGTCCAGGCTACAGAGGGGAGAAATGAGTAAAATGCATATGCCTGTTGGGCTCTTTGTGTAAAATAAGCTCTGCACTGTGATATCACATTATATAGATTTAAAACTGGGGTGACTGAGCTGTTTTAGGGCCTAAAATGTCCATTACTTCATAAAATACAGCCTTTTGAAATCAGATAATTATTACTGATAAACTTACAGATACCACTTTCCATTGTCTTTATCACACCAACAGACCTGTTCCCCACTCCCCACAAAAAACTCACAGGTTGTGGGAGAAGTAGGTGGATAAAATGATGGTAATAATATCACAATGACACATGTAGAAATCTAGAAATGTGGCTGCACTCAGTCACGTGAAGGTCAGTGAGCCTGTGATGTTTAGACCCATCTGATATGAAAATGTCAGCCACACAGTCCCCTTACATGCCAAAGGTCACTGGTTAGAGAACAGGAGGAGACACAGATCCCAGTATCAGGATATCCAGGTATCAGGCATTAAACATCTGTCAGATCAAACATGTGAATCTTTCCACTGTGGCAAGGTTTGTGAATAAAGGAGCAGCCGAAAGAAGCTTTGTTGTTTAAGTCAGACACTGATTTTTGTGCTGTAATATTTATGCATTGAGAGCTGAAGATTGTCTAATGTGAAGATTTGCTGCAGAGTTTTATAGTGTGCGTTTAGGTTCATATTCAGTGAGGATGTTTCTCAGAATTATTGTTAAATCACCTGAAAACATCTTTGTCAGGTAGTAAGCCTGGTAGTGTAGTTAGGAACTCACCTCTCTCTCTGTTTTTCTGTTCTTCACCTTTCCCACTCGTCCCTGCCTTCACTTCTTTGCCCTTTTATTTCCTTTCCTTTCCTGGTTCCCTCCTCCCGCCAGGTGCTTTGGCTGGCCTGATTGACATTGCTGCTGATTGGATGAACGACCTGAAGGAGGGCGTGTGTCTGAGCGCCTTGTGGTTCAACCACGAGCAGTGCTGCTGGACGTCCAATGAGACCACCTTCGCTGAGAGGGACAAGTGTCCTCAGTGGAAGAGCTGGGCTGAGCTAATACTGGGGCAGGCTGAGGTAGAGGAACACGGGCACATGAAAGGGAGAGCATGCTGTCGATTTAAAACCAGACATTTTCTGCAGTACGTATACGTCACTGCAGTGAGACCGAGAGGCTACGGCTTCTAAGCAACAATGCAAAAATAAAACCCTTGTTGTTCAAATTCATTAAAAAAAAATTTCAATTAAAAAGTAGACAGTTTGCAAAAGCTTTGCACCTTTTCTCATGAGCTGACTGCAGTGACACTGACACTGACACATAAGGGCAGACGTAGTCTCAGGCGTCCACACAAGTTTTTTTTTTTAATTTTTATTAAAGGTTTGGACGTTTTTCTTCCACTCTTTAACTTTTCCCTCCCTCTTCATCCGCCCCTCTCTGCAGGGCCCCGGCTCGTACATCATGAACTATTTTATGTACATCTACTGGGCTCTGTCCTTCGCCTTCCTGGCAGTTTGTCTGGTTAAGGTGTTTGCGCCGTACGCCTGCGGCTCAGGGATCCCAGAGGTGAGGAAAACATTGCTTTTGTAAGTCCCGGTACAACTGAAACTTTCTTCATTTTAACCTCTTTTGGTGATAAATTGATGTGCATGAAGGAAATCCTTGAACTCTTAAATGGGAAATGTTGTTCGACTGTTCGCTGGGGGATCTTTGCACGCATTTTCTGATCGATTTGTCTCCCGGTGACTCTGTGAAAGAGTCTGATGGGTTTCAGGATCTTTTAATGTACTGAAGCACTTAAAAACCATTAATTCAGCTGGGAGATGTGAAATATTTTACTGCTATGAAAAAAAGGGGGGAGGGCTCTTTGTTGCCATGGAAACACAAAAGCGGCACGTGTTAGACAATGACTTGAAAGCAGAGATGCAGCCTAACTAACAACCCAGTGAATTTATGTCATTATTTCTTTTTAACTTTCATGTGTTTACGTGTCTGATCCTGAGCACCTTGCTTTCCTCACACCTGCCTCTCCCACAGATCAAGACCATCCTGAGTGGGTTCATCATCCGGGGCTATCTGGGCAAGTGGACCTTGATGATCAAAACCATCACTCTGGTGCTGGCTGTGGCGTCGGGCCTGAGCCTGGGGAAAGAGGGCCCCCTAGTCCACGTGGCATGCTGCTGTGGGAACATCTTCTCCTACCTCTTCCCCAAGTACAGCAAGAACGAGGCCAAGAAACGAGAGGTGAAAGCAAAATAGTCCCTGTAGCACGAGTAATAAATGTTTAATACGTACAAGTGTCTTTAGTAGTTTGTGCGTGTGTGAACGAGCCCGCCGCTGGTGCTGAGGTGTGTTTGTTTTGTGCTCTCAGGTTCTCTCTGCCGCGTCAGCTGCCGGGGTGTCTGTTGCTTTTGGAGCACCAATCGGGGGAGTCCTCTTCAGCTTAGAGGAGGTGCATCAGCACTTAAACAAGTTACTATGTGGTGTTGTTTTAATGTGATGGTAACAGCAACAGTATTAATCCACCAATGCTCTCCTCTCTCCTTCAGGTGAGCTACTATTTCCCTCTAAAGACGTTGTGGCGCTCATTCTTTGCGGCCCTGGTGGCGGCCTTCGTGCTTCGCTCCATTAACCCGTTTGGGAACAGCCGCCTGGTGCTGTTCTACGTGGAGTACCACACGCCATGGTACCTGTTTGAGCTCATCCCGTTCATCCTGCTGGGAGTGTTCGGGGGCCTCTGGGGCGCCTTCTTCATCAAAACCAACATCGCCTGGTGCCGGCGGCGCAAGTCGACACGTTTCGGTATGATGTGACCTTGTGGTGACCTCACCATTTAAAACTTTTACTGAGAGCTTAATGGTGGAAAAAGTGAAATGGAATAAAGACTGTTTCTATCAGTCGATACTCTCCTCTCATGTGCTTTTTATGATTTTAGTGACTCCATAGTGCCGTGTCGGAATTTTAAAATCCTCTTTTCTTAAAATCAAATGTATACAAGCATCTTTCCATGAAGCAAACAGAGCAACAGTGTTTAATCTGCATTTGAAGCGTTTCACACAAACCTGTCTCGCTCTGTAGGCAGGTACCCGGTGTTGGAGGTGATCCTGGTGGCGGCCATCACTGCAGTGGTTGCTTTCCCAAACCCTTACACGCGTAAGAACACCAGCGAGCTGATAAAGGAGCTGTTCACCGACTGCGGTCCGCTGGAGTCTTCGCAGCTCTGTCAGTACCGCAGCCAGATGAACGGCACCAAAGCCTTCTCTGATGACCAGCCGGCGGGGCCCGGCGTCTACTCGGCCATGTGGCAGCTGTGCCTGGCGCTCATCTTTAAAATCATCATGACTATATTCACATTTGGACTCAAGGTGAGAGAGTTTTTTCCTTAATAATGAAGCAGATGTTTTGCCCTGCGAGTCTTCATCAGCACTGAAACATGTTCCTTTCTCGTCGTTAGGTACCGTCGGGTTTGTTCATCCCCAGCATGGCCATCGGGGCGATCGCGGGGCGGATTGTTGGCATTGCCATGGAGCAGCTTGCATATTATCACCACGACTGGTTCCTGTTCAAAGAGTGGTGCGAAGTCGGAGCTGACTGCATCACTCCAGGGCTCTACGCTATGGTGGGAGCTGCAGCGTGCCTGGGTGAGTCAGCACTTAATGGGATTGTTAAGCTTTGCCACCAGTTTGTGCCAAAGCCTTCACGTTTCAGCACCGAGGGCCGGGTGATGAGCATATATGAGATATCCTGCTGCTATTGTAATAACTGGCTGTGTCAGAACATGTTACTCACTCTGAGTAACATGTGATCAGGGATGTGTAGCTTTGTCTCATCTGTTATAGAAATAAACACTTGTTTAGTTGGAGTCGTAGTTTAATGCGTGTTACTGTCACGCCTTCCTCCGTCTGTAGGTGGAGTGACTCGTATGACTGTCTCCCTCGTCATCATCGTGTTCGAGCTGACCGGCGGGCTGGAGTACATCGTCCCCCTCATGGCCGCCGTGATGACCAGCAAATGGGTGGGCGATGCATTCGGTCGAGAGGGAATCTACGAGGCCCACATCCGACTGAACGGATACCCCTTCCTAGATTCAAAGGAGGAGTTCACGCACACCACGCTGGCCCGGGAGGTGATGAGGCCCCGACGCAACGACCCGCCGTTGGCAGTGCTCACGCAGGACGACCTGACTGTGGAGGAGCTGCAGGGCATTATCAATGAAACCAGTTATAATGGTTTCCCTGTGATCGTGTCTAAGGAGTCCCAGAGGCTAGTGGGCTTCGCTCTGCGCAGAGACATCACAATCGCTATAGGTAAGACTGGAGAGAAAACACCTGAACCCCCGTGACCTTCTGGAGTTTAAAGATGGTGTAAAGTGAATGCTTTTCATATCTCTACAGAGAATGCACGCCGCAAACAGGAGGGCATCGTGCTGAACTCAAGGGTGTACTTCACCCAGCATGCACCCACGCTGCCTGCCGACAGCCCTCGACCCCTCAAGCTTCGCTCCATCCTGGACATGAGCCCCTTCACCGTCACTGACCACACCCCCATGGAGATCGTGGTGGACATTTTCAGGAAGCTGGGTCTGCGCCAGTGCCTGGTTACTCACAACGGGTAAGTGTGTCTCAGAAGGAAGGAGGTGCTGTAGGAGCTGAAGGTGGAGCCGTCTCACATCGTTGTTTCTGATGTAGTGATTGCTTAACACACACACACACACACTGTCTGGTGTTGCATGAGCTCTGGGATCCCTGGATTTATGCTGTAATCTGCATGGCCTGGCCTAATCGCTGTGCTGCACCTCCTTTTATCCTCCTGGTGAGCAGTGACGGTCTCCTTTACAGGAGAAGCTGAGCTGCTGACGGAAACTAACCACAAATACATAACAGGTGTCACGCAGTGGGAGTATAGACAGTAAGAGGAGCTGATGTGTGGTCTGAATCTGAGGAGGAACGTTAAAGGTTTTACCTCCGCGAGAAACCTTCAGTGAAACTAATTTAAAACTAAAGTCTCGTCCACGTGTGGAGACGCCTGCAGGAGATCCAGTCTGATTGGGTCTTTGCAGATGTGCGATGTTGAAACAACGAGACAGACCGTGTTAATTTGCTGTGATGATCACTGGAGAGGAACTGTGCAGCAGTGTTTGTTTCATTTACCTTTTTTAGGATTAACCTTTTATTTATTTCTTAAATAATGACACTAGTTTTTTTTTTATTTTTCATATTTTTGTTGTTGTCAACAAATCTCATGAAAAGACCTAAACTGTCAGTCATGAAGGAGGTTCAGGATGATTTAAAGATCTTTCCTTCTATTGTTATTGGGCTTTGCTAGAGTAGCTTTGCTTGATTAATAGTTCAGAATAATCTGTATTTACCTGATACTGGGTCTTCATCCACCTGAATTTAGGCAGCTGCTTTAGCTCCTCTCCCTTGAAGCCAGCTTCCTTCCCATTGGCTGCCCCTCCTAAGCAGAAGGTTTGAACAGCAGGTATGCAGGGGATTTGCTCAGAGTTCCTGAGATGACTGTTTTAGTGACAGACAGTGATGTCATACAGAGCAAAACACAGAAAGAACTGAGCACATAGAGCAGTCCGAATGCTGAGTTTGTGGCTCAGAGTCACACACTTATCTCATAATTTAAAATGTTTAATATGAACACTCACTCCTGTAACAGTAAGGAAGGGACAAGGCCTCCTTTATACGTATGAAGAAGAAAGTATGAAGAACAACATTACACAAAGATTGAAAAATAAGTACTTATAAAACACTGAGCAATCCTACAGAGATTAGAGGGATTAGGTTCATTGGTTGGATTATTATTAGCTGCTAATAAATGTTGGTTCTTAATGATTCTTACATTCGCGTTGGATAAACCTAAAGTCATTTAATGCACCTGTCTGATACTCTGCTGTAACGTAATCTTTTTTACAGCTTACAAAAGACACTGTACACTTTATTAGGTACACCTTGCTAGTACTGGGTTTGACCCAGGTTTGTCTTCACAGCTGCTTTAATTCTTCAACAAGGTGTTTAAAACATTCCCGAGATTTTCGTCCATGTTGACATGAGAAGTTCCCACAGTTGCTGCAGATTTGTCTGCTGCACATCCAGGATGGCAATGCCACGAGCAGTCTAACAGGTGTACCTAATAAAGTGGCAGATGAGTGTAAAACAGTATTGCGTGTTGACCTCTTCATGGGATTTGTTGACAGAAGAATCAGTCATATTATAAGTAATTAAACGGTTATTCTTTTATCATTCATTTATATCTTAGTTGTATTTGCTTGTTTAGTTTTGTTAGTTTTGAGTTGTATTTTTTGTTGTGTTTATTGTGTACTGCTGCTGTGTGTTCTCTCTGTGTCTGTCTGTTGTTGTTGTTTTGGGCAGTCTGCTGAGTAACAGGTGTGTGTTTCAGGATTGTGTTGGGCATCATCACTAAGAAGAATATATTAGAGCATCTGGAGGAGCTCAAGCAGCACACGCCGCCCCTGGTGACTAGCCCCGCCCCTTTCACACGTGATCTGTTCCCCCCACTTTTTTTTCTTTTTTTGCACCTGTCTCTTAGGCTCTGCCTCTTAGGGGAGGGGAGGGGGGGATGCATGAAGTGTAGTGTGAAAAGCTGATGGCAGTTCCCGGCTAAAACATCCAGACTTCCTGCCCTCTTCCTTACTTCAAGCACTTTTCTGCTCCTGGGTTTGTTTGTTGTGGATTTACCTCTAATGAAGTCATAGCCAAACAGGCGTAGACAGACTAGTCTGACCTCCATCTTCAGGGTAGCTGTAGCAGTTTCGGAGACATCGCGTAGAGAAGCATTAGGCTGGTCCTGTAATGTTGGACCTCGATGGGAACTGTCACCCACATCAGTTCAGAGCCCCTTTCAGACACGAGCTTCAGCGCTTACTGTGACTCGTGTTGGACGCAGTGGGAGTCATACGAAGGGCCAGACAAAGGCTCAGCTGCTCATGCATGGCAGCTTCTCATGTCTGAGAAAATGGACAACAGAGTTTATTGACGTCCTGTAATACAAACAACACAGCCTTCATCAAACTTGTCATTTGGTCCTCAAGAAAAAAGTCTAATAACCGTTAAAACACTTAGTTCAAGGTTATTGTTAATAATATTGTTAATAAAAACTAAAAGTAGTTTAAAAGCAGCAAAAAACGCAAAGAATGAACTAATATTATTAGTTTTACTTAAAAAATAAAGGAAAATGCTCAATCTTACCGCTGACAGTTAAACTTTTTATTAGTATTTTAATCACTCATAAAATTAAAACTGAGCGTTATGACTAACGGCAACTAAACAAAAACACAACAGAACAAACTAAACTGAACTGGGACAAGAAGTCGATGCTAAAACTAATCAGAAAACACAAAACCGTCATAACCCTGGTTTAGTCCAGCACATAAACATCTCAAACTCATGACAACAGTAGCTTCTGTTAGTGCGAAGCATTTAATAAAACTAGACTGTATCCTGATGTAAAAGGGAAAAAATGACTGATTTTTGATGATGGAGGAAGCTTCAGTTGAAAAAGAAAAGTAAAGAATCTGTCATCATGTAGTTTTTCTGCGCCGTACAGCCCGGCTTTGTGGCATAAAACCAGCTGCACATGAAAACAAAGCTTATATTTGCTTTCAACTCCATTACTTTGATATTTGTCTCAAGGAGAAGCACACTGTGTTTCAGCTGCATGGCTATTTTCAGTTAAATGACTCTCTTCTCTTTCTGTGGCTTTCGTGTTTTTGCTTTTTGGAGTCCAACAGAGCCTCGTGGCAGATGGATAAAGCTGCCTCTCTTACATTTAGTGCCTGAACTTCCTTTTTGCTGTCCTTTGACTTAAATGTGTGTTTAGTTTGGAGCATAAATCACAATGCAGCCGGAGTTTACTGCGAACCTGAAGTGATTCATCGAGCCAGGTTATAGCATGATCAGGGCCTTGATTTGATCAGATATGCCTCTTACACTCAAAACCTTCAACTTCAAACACATTAGTGGGGAAACCACCAGAGCCTCTGGGCGCACACCTGAGCAGCTGCATCAGAGTAAACAAACTCTGTTACACGGTTTAATATCAGTCTAGAAAAAACGGCGTCCATTAAGTATTAATTGATAGTAAAGATAACGAGCATCGCCCACCCTAAAACTGTTTGCATCCATAAAGTGTGTTAATGCACACGCACCACTTAAAAGCTCCAGTTTGCATGGAGTGTGTAAGCAAACAGAAGTGAGTCATAAACTAACACTGCGCCTGATAACTGAGTTATTTCAGGCTATAAAGCAGGCGGCTGAGCTAGTGATTGTGTGTGATGAACAATGATGGCAGGTTGTAGTCGGTGTAAAACTCTGGATTTTATGCACAGTTCTCCGTCACTAATCCAGATTTAGACGCACTCTTTTGCTTTTCATGGACATTTTTGTTTTTACACGGCTTGAGATTTTCAACACTATTCAATAAAAGACGTTTAACATAAATTGACTGATATTAACTGAAACAGTGATTTCCTGGTTTTTAAAAATAAACGGTAGTTTAGCAGACATGTGACGAGTGCTGCTGACGGTGTCTGAAAGGGGCTCAGTAGATTCCCACAGAGCAGAGTTCATCCCATCGACCTGCATTTGTACACACAGTAGCTGTTCCGTGCTAGCCCCGTTCACTCACAGCACCCTGTTGTGTTCCTGGCTGACTGTGTGATCAGAGACACTCAGCATGTGTGCAGTCGTGTAACCGTGAAGCCTGTTGTGTGTTTCCCATCTCCCCCTCACAACAGAAGTCATTTCAAGTTCAGCCTCCCAAAGTTTTCTGTTTTCATTAACGACTGCTTTTTCCCTCCCCCCTCTTTTTTTTTTTTTTAAACCCCTCCCCTCTCGACCACAACCGCCCCTGGGGCTCCACAGATCAACGACATGTGAGCCGTCACCTGTACAACGACTGGGCGAGTAGTTAGCCGCCTTGGGAAAGCGGACCACCGTTGTTTTAGTCCTTTTAAAGATTGAAGGGGGGGGGTGTTAGTAGGAGGGAGGGAGGGGGGCAATCTGTAGTGATGCGACTCATTCCTATAATCCCCCTCATCCTGTAGTGGTAGTGCGCGTGGTGGAGTGACGATGTTGTGTTGACTGGTGCCAGTAGTGCTGTAGCTTATGTAGCTAGCGTGCGATGATCACATGAGACCTGTTATGAAGTGATTACTAATCCTGTTCTTTAACCTGCCGATGTTTCCTCTGAGCCAGCAGTGTCCCGCCTTCTGAGTGTGGGCCCACAGCAGACATGGAGAAGGTGTTAGAATATACTCTGGAGTAAATGTTAAAAAAGCACGATTATTATAAGCAACAGGAAGAAAAATAGAAACTTTTAAAGTAAATTATAAGTAAATTGTGTATATTGTCATTAGAAACACACAAAAAAACACCACTAGCTCCAGTTGATATAATAATCTGTAATAAGCAACATGGCTACATCAGCTACTGTGACACCACCCATCTGCTTCTGTTTCCAGATTTTGAAGCTTCAGTATTTTTGGTGCCACCATATCAGACATTAGAAACGTCCGAGTGTGGATGAAAGGATGGAGGGCTCGTTTATCAGCTAACATGGCTGCATACGTAAACTGCAGCTCACACACTCGTGTATCAGCACCAGAGGAATAATGAGGGTCTGCAGCACAGATTTATGACCTTGCTGTGCATGCAGAGAAGAGTCAGGTGTACAGCACAGTTACAGGCTGCTTTATTATTAATGTGTTGTAATGTTAGTGCAGGTGGTGCTACGCTCACTTCCTGGCCCAGATTTTTACCTGAAATTCGCTGGGGCAGGTCACTGCTGGTTTAACTGGAAACATTGTGGTCACTCTTCACCTGACCCACTCTGATCTGCACCTGGCTTCCCGAGCCTCTGCTGCCGGTCTGAACCCAGGTCTGATCTGTGTGACTGCTGCTTCACACCTCCGCCCTCCACAGGTACCTCAGCTCCACCCACTCAGACCTGGGTTCGCTTTCAATTATTTGCCTTCTAGGGTCAAAACGCAGCTGAAGATCACGATTAATCATAAACGCATGAACTCCTTGTGGTCACCTGACTGCATTAACACAAAGCACACTGAGCTCTTTGGACGCAGCTCTACATGATTTGAGCTCTGTAGGAGTCACATAGCGTCTTCTCACTGCTCTCAGCTGTTTCTCCTCTTCACCTGACCTCACTGCAGTCAGCAGGAGCATCGCCGATGTTTAAAAAGCTGTCGTGTTAGTCCTTAATGGCCTCAGCTGACTGACTAAATCCTTTAGTGTCATACAGAGAGAAAGTGCTCCATAGTGCTGCGAGGTGGATTCATCACAGGAGTCAGAAATCGCTATTGAAACATGATTATGAAATGAGCTGTAATTTATCACAACTTGAAGTCACCTGTGTTTTGTGGAAACTTTCAGGAAAAGAGAAATCAGAAATGCAACCTGGAAGGGAAAATAAATCCTAAAATGTGGAATTTCACACTAAAAACCAGACTTTGAACGTTTTTCTGTACAGCGACTGGGCGATGTAGACTTTCTGGCTCAACACAGTTCAAACCCTTCACCATTAAGTTTTTAGCAATCTGAAATAAAAATGATAACATTTTTAATGAAATTCGAGTCAGAATGTTGTTCATCTCCACAGACCCATGATGACTGACTTCATGCAAGCGATATAACCGCTGGCGACACAAAGCGGGTCTGTCGAGAGTTAATCTTTGAGGCGATCGACTAAAAATGAGGGTGAAGTGCACCGCTGATTGATATATGACAGAGTGGTAAACAGATTAGAGGGTTACCTTGGCAACTGGAGCTTGGACTCTCCACTAGCAACCAATGATGCTTTAAAGTGAGTCACTTCATGTGTGAACGGCCCTTTAATGTGACACTGTCCCCTGGTTACCAACGGGGACTCTGTCACCTGTCAGACTTTCAGGGCTTCATATTATGAAAATGATGTTACAGAAAGCACTTTGAAAAATGTCAAACATTAGAAATATTTCTCACAGCTTTATAGAACAGGAACAGTTGATGTGTTTTTGTGACAGGCAGTAACAAAGTGTCTAAAGATACAAGTTGTCAATTACATGTAGACACATCATGAACCTGTAAAATATCAAAGCATTAAAAGGCTCAAAGGATGAACCAGTGTTACGCAGCCCAACAAACAAAGCATTCCTGTGAAAATGGTCAAGTACAAGGACTGAAAATGAGTGAAAAAGCATCCAATGAAAAACTTTGAAAGGCCTTCAAAAAAAAAAAGGAGAACTGCTGCTCAAGAGCACTTTAAAAAATACAAAAGCCTGCTTGGAAACAAAATATAAAGAAGTGATGGCTGGCTCAAGACTTTTGCACATCACTGTAATGTTTGCTGTCTGATTTTACTGCAAAAGCTTTAAATTGGACTGAATAAAAAGAAAAGGTAAAAGACAGAAATGTCCTCTCTGACTCCTGTGATGGGCACCGCCTCTTCCTCTGCTCCTCTGACTTTACTCCTGTTCACTGCTTCCTGTCTCCTCTGAAGGATCCAGCTCCTCCTTTTGCTCAACAGCAAATCTCAAACGGCCGTGGCAGGGGTCTGAAGCGGGGGAAGCTGGGTGCTGTTTCTCACCTGCCTTTTTCCTCTTCCACCTCCTGCTGCTGACTTTTGCTTCCTCAGGGACTCGTGCTTTTGTTGGCCTCATTCTGACACAGATTCATATAATTAATGTCATACCGGAGCCAAAATTAAACAATGCGATTCTGTTTTTGCCAACAAAAACATGATGTTTTTATTGTTTCCTGCTTTACTTCAGCTGCCGAGCACCAACACCACCACCACCACCTCATGCTTCTGTCCCTCTTTGTCTCCCTCTGCAGGCGGCTTCTTGGTATTATCACAAAAAAAGATATCCTTCGTCACATGGCTCAAATGGCAAATCAGGATCCAGAGTCCATCATGTTCAACTGATCCGCTCTTTCCAGGACGGCTGGGGTGGAGGGGGCAACGAGGAGGAGGAGGAGGAAGAGGTGTGCCTCCTGAACGGCTCCAGTCTCTGACACTCGGACCCCGTTTTTGTTTGTTCGTTTTTAGTTTTCAGCTGTAGACCCTGAACCTCACTGACTGACTGACTGAGGCCTCCAGAGACTTTCAGGCCACCCGAGGAAAAGACGATGACACGAGACTTTGTTCTCATCGTCCGGCTGCCGAGGACACGATGAGGTCACGGGTCGAAGGCACGCACACACACAAGGAATGCACTTTTTACACACACACTTTTGCACTCGCAGACACCTCACTCATGCATGCTGTACACACACACACACACACACACACACACACACACA